ATGTCATAAAATTTATTAATTTTGATCTAAATCATAAAATTTTATAATTTTAATATTTTATCACATTCATTAGAAATTATTTACTTTGATTTCTTTTAAATTGTGAAAACATATTTCAAATACATAGTTTTTTTTATCATAGAATTTAAATAATATAAGTTTAAAAGGTTTTATAAATTATTTAAATTTATAATTCAAAATTTTTAAACACATCTTTGTTACAAAATTTTATATACATGTTCAGTCAAAGTATATATATATTTATTGAAAAAAATAGTTAAATTTTTAATCAAGTCTTTTATGTTTGCCTTAAATGAATGAAATTTATGTAACTGTAAAAATGTAATTTAGGAATTTATTAGAATGAAAGGTAAAATAATAAGTAAAATTTATTTTAATATAAATTTTAGTTAAAAATAATGTTTTTAGAATCTTTTTAGAATATTCTTAACCGTGTTAACTTATTGGATTAAACTGTATATTTTTAAAATAAAAGAAGGTATGTGTAATGATGTAAACTAAAAGGGTAGTTAGAATATTTTACTCTATTTTTTTTGTATTTCCTTTCATTCATACTAAGTTAACATTCTCTGAATCCAATTATGATAAAATATATGTTTTTTCCCCCCCAACATTTAGAGCTGGGAAAACGGGTCGAGCTCGTCAGGCCGGCTCGTTTAAGCCTGAAAATTACAAAGGTCAGGCTTGAAATTTTTTCCCTCAAATGGAAAACAGGCCCTACAGGGCCTGAGGGCTTAAACGGGCTGACCCGTTTAGGCCCTTTTATATATTTTTGTTTTTTAAATTTTTTTTGTGTAATTCTAATATTATTAATTTTTACATTGTTAATGATATTTCAAATATTTAGTTATTATTATCGATTTAAAATTAAATTTCACAGAATGGTTTGATTTATTTAGTTTTAGACAATAATTTGTCCAATTAAATTTTAAAAAGTGGGTTAATTTGTACTTTAATAATGATTTGATTATATATTATATATGTTGATATTTTTTTAACTATATTATATTTGATAAGAGAGTATTTTTATACTTATATAACTTGTGATTCTATATGAATTAGAAATTTATGAGTTTCAACAACAATATTTCTCAAACTAAAGTAAAATAATAGCTAAACTGCAAAATTTAAAAGTGAAATTCCTATAAAGAAGAAAAAGTTGATATTGTTGTTACGAAAGAAAAGAAGACTTATGAAGAAAATTAATTGATTATAGCGATGATGAAGTTTTAAAAGATTAATGATAGTGTTTGTTTATTACACATTTACACTATAGATGAAACTTTGGATGTTGTTATCTTGTTAATGAATGTTTTAGATGTTCTTGGATGTTGATGGATATTTGTATATAATGATATTTTGTATTTGTAACTTAATTTTATTCATATATATGTCTTTTATTAATAATTTTATTGGTTTATTTTTATTTTTTTATAAGAAATAGGAAAAATAGCATTTTTTTTAAACAGGCCGAAAGCCCGCGGGCCGGCCTTGAGCCTATTAGCTTAAGAGCCGGGCCTAGCAAATTGAAGTATTTTTAAAATTTCGACCCTGTAAGACCAGTCCTATTAAACCCATCAGCCCTGCAGAGCCGGTCCTGATTCCTAGCTCCATCAACATCTTGAGCTCTCAACTTGCTTATTTCATTTGAGTCATTATTGAATAGTCGTGGAGTAAGTATATCAATTATTTAATACATGTTAGATTTCATTTTTTCATAATTTATTCTTTTTTTGTTTTTGGGGCCATGCATTCAACATCTCGGACTCAGCTTCCCCCCCCCCCCCCATGATTTAATACATTTTTAATATAGCAATACTTCCTTCTTCGTTTTTTAATAATTGTTTTGCAATTCATGATCAAGTTATAGCAATTGTGAAACTATCGCAATATCCAAGTAAACAAAACGTTAATTAATTAATCAATTAATTAATCAATCAATCAATCAATTATGATACATATTTTTCCTTCTTCTGTGTCCTATGCAGGGGGAAAAAACGTCAAAAGATTAAGTCGAGGTTTAATTCCTCATAAATTGCCCATATCAAACTATAGGGATCTTTTTTGCTCCAAAAAAATTATAGAGACCTTTGTTTCCAAGTAAACGTAGTACGTTTGTTCCTTCAATCCCAACCTTTCCAAGTTCTCTGAGAAAAACTTGCCTCTTTTCAAGTGCTAGCTGTATTTAAGGATCTAATGCATGCAATAGTACATGTTACTTTAAACCAGACTTGCACTACCTTTTTGGCTAATTAAAGAGAGACACAATTAGAATACTGAAAAGATATAGTCTTCTAACTTAATTTTGTATGAGATAGCATCTAGCTAGCTAAGCCACCCGAGCTATTCAAACAAATTTTGTTCTGTTCATTTTTTTCAATTATGTTGTTATTCAAGGATTAAAGCTCTTCTTACTAATTGGAGGATACAAGATCTATTCTATCGTGTAAATATATACTTCTAGTTACTTTTTTGTGATGATTATTGCAATGACATAAAGCTATGGATTACATAAAAGTGAAATCATTTTCTCCATTTTGTGTGGTGCACAATTTTGCACTACAATTACATAGTATTACCTCCGGTCCTTAATATAAAATCTTGTTTGATTTTTATTTCAGTCCTAAATATAAGACCTTAATCCACTTTGTTTCTCATATTTATACATTTTTTCTAAGGAAGTCCTTTTAGTAATGATAGTTCTAGTTAATACATTTGATTAATAAGGATATTTTAGGAAAAATAACACTTATTCATTATAAATAACAAACTTAACTTCTTTTCTTAATTTTTTCAAATTAGTCAACTAGCTCTTATAATTAGGATCAGGTGTAGTACAATGAAATGTTGGGAAAATCATGCTTTCTAAGAATTTTTCATGCTCACTGTGATGCCAAAACAAATCCTTCATTTTCTGTGAATTGTAATGATGGTTATTTTATTCTAAAAGTTTTCGTGCAACATATAAATTCAATTATTAAAGTTGGCCGAGTCATTACTGATTCAGTTTGTACGACTATATTTTTAAGTTGTGAAATATATGTTTGAATGCTAATATGACTTCTGGTGGTTTTTGCCGATGAGTGCTTTACTAGCCTGATTTTGATTGTTTCGAAATATATTTCAGTGCTTATAATTAGTTGGCAATTCCTGAAAATTAATATTTCATGATATATTGAATATCATTAATTATATATAAATTCTAATCGTAATAGTATTATATGTATTATGCCATTTTGTTCTGTTAATGTTGCTTTGAAAGTATTTTAGACTTTTGATTTCAGTTATCTATAAACCCTTAAGGTCATCATACTAATCATTCTTTAACAAAAACAAGTCCCACAAGACAAATTCAATAACAATAAAGTTTAATAATTCATAACATAGTCCAATAGCATTTTGTAAATTTCACACAATTTAAAATCACTCGCAAATAATATATAAACATACATAACAAGTAAAAAGTGGTTAATTACTTTTACTCACACACACACAAAAAAAAAAGGTTACTTCTTACTCAAATTAAAGAAAAGGATTATCACAAGATTAGCTCTATGCTGACACCAATAATCTAATTATTAATCTACACAATCAATATATTCACATATCAATCCATAAGCTATTTAATTAGTTGAGAACATATATATATACTTAATACTACCTCCGGTTCTAATTATAAGACCCAGTTGACTAATTTGAGGAGATTAAGGAAGTAAGTTAAGTTAGTTATTTGTAACAAATAAGTGTTGTCATTCCTAAAATATCCTTACTAATTAAGTGTGTTGGTTAGAACTATCATTATTAGAAGGACTATCTTGGAAAAAAAATGCATAAATATGAGAGACAAAATGGATTGGGGTCTTATAATTAGGACCAAATTAAAAGTCAAACGAGGTCTTATATTAAGGACTGAAGGTAGTATATAGTTAAATTTCTATGCTAAAATTCCAATTCTCTCATAACCTATAATTTAGTCTTTCAACACTAAATTATACCCTTTCTAAAAATCTAAATTACTCATTTAAATCCTCTAAATTATTTACTTTAATAAACATTTTTTCCAAATTTTCAGATATGAAATTATTATATTTAAAATTTAAAAGTCTCATTTCCAGTTTAAATATCAAAACTAAACGATTAAAAGTTTAATAGCAACTCAAATACACTTAAATAAATAATCTAATCAAAATTTTCATAGCAGAAATATCATCTTTCACACCAAATAAAATTAAACTGATTGAAATGACATACTAAATTAGTTTTATAATACTGTGGTTTCAAATTTTAGACATAAATTTTTTTTCAAAATAATATAAAATTATTACCATTAGATAGAGTTCTATGAGTAAAATAATTTTTATGAGATGCATTTAATGAAAAGAAGCAGTTTAAAATACCTTTTTTTTTTTTGACCAGAAAAGCAGTTTAAAATACCTAAATGATCTTTAAAACTGAAAAGCTAGACTAAGAATTTAGTAGCCGCGATGCGCCGACCCTCACAGGTCTCTCCGGAATTCCCTACTGTAGCTGAAAAGAAAAGGCATTAGTGAGGATATATGTATTCATCGTAATTTCTTTAAAGTAAATATATTATATTTATCTGTTTTGTTTTTGTATTGTTATATTATTATATATAACTTTTTATTTAATGAGATTTCTCTTAATATTTTAAACACTGATAGTAACAAATATTAAAACAAGATTTTATAAAAACTTTGTGTGCATATATTTTTTGTATTTATAAAAACTTTTTTTATTTATAAAAATACTTTGGCCCTTTAATGAGATCAATACTATATCCAAAACAATTAAGTGTTTTTACGGTATACGAAGTAAATATATAAAAGAGTTTGTCTCGATTTGCGGGAAAATGCTTTTAAAAAGTGATTATTGGGGTATCCAAACCCCCTCTAAATCATCTTCTTATGACCAGGAGCAAATACAAATGGGCCAATTTAAATGGGCCAATAACAAAAATCTTATTCAAACCCGGCATCATCGAGTCATTCCAGTTTGTCCTTTGCATGCATAGATTGTCTCATATTATATGTGATGTAGTGAATGAAAACAGACGGAAACCTGCTAGGACTTCTAATAGTGGTCCTCTAATATCTCATTTAATGTTTGCGGATGACATTCTTTTATTTGAAGAGGCTACTGAGCTACAAATGATGGGATATTAACAAACTACTACATATCATATTTGTCCACCTGCTTGTTTTCCTCAAACAGAAATTGATTTCTTCAAGGAAATCAAAACTTTCTTGCAGGCTTTCTTTTCGGCTATGTCTCTATTGGCAGCTCTAGAGGTGTGCTTACAAGTTTTCCCATTAGCTAGAACCCTAACTGTGACACAAGTTGAGCCATCGTTTCTATCTACAAATGGCTCCCCCAAAACCAATTTATAATTTAGTTTTTGGCAGAATTCTCGCAATTCACGAACAGGGTGAATCGGTAAAGTTTCAGGTGTTACCAAAGGTTCTAACAGGGGCCTGATGCTTTTGAACACAACCTCTTTGTTGAACCCAGAATCAACGAAAATTGCTCCGGCTAGAGACTCTATGATGTCGGCAAGTACCTGTCAATAATGAATAATATTAACATTGGACTCAAGATTAGGGCATTTTATGTGACTCACACCTTCCCATGGAGGTAGTATGTTCTATATGTTAACCTAGAAGTTTTACATTCATAAGATGAAGGCAGAGGAAGTGTTATTTAGAAAAAACATAGAAGGAAAAAAAAAAGTGAGGTTTAGATTCCAAAACTAATTATATGATTATATTATCACTCTCTAGTTGAATGCAGCCTCTACATCGTCATGTGACTCTAGAGGATCAAAAAGCAAGACCCTACTCTAATTGTGAGCAAATGTACCAAAATGATACTACCTCTCGCTCCTAAATATAGGAACTAAATAACTACTCTAGTCATTCGTGAAAAATAAGTGTTGGTTTTCTTAAAACACCCGTTAATCATTTGCCTTAGAAATTATCCCTTAATGAAAACCTCCTTAATATATATTTTCAATCGACAGGGTTTAGGAAAAGAATTATAAGGGAGACAAGGTTAATTAGTATCTTCTATTTAGTATTGAAGGGAGCATTTGAATATGAGCACTAAAACACCACGAACGTACACTAAACTAAAGCATTGCTTAAGGACCGATAAGATATGTATATTCAATAGAGAGAGTTTAGGAAAAGAATTATAAGAGAGACAAAATTGATTGGTATCTTATATTTGGGATCAAAGCTGACCCTTTTACTAACTCTTATGTTTAGTAATGAAGTGAGCATTTGAATATAAGCACTAAAATACCACTATGAGAAAATAGTAGAATAAACATGGACTAAACTAAAGCATTGCTTAAAGACCAATAAGATGAAAAATGAGGGCTAACCTTGGGGAGAAAAGTCTCCGTATCCCATCCAAAAGTTGGTTCAGTAGAAGACCCTTTAAACTTATTTATTGCTTGAGCGATATTCTTCTCTAATTCTTGAGAGGAATGAAGTATGTGTTTGTGTAATTCAAACTTAATGGCAGATCGAGCATAACAATCGTTATTTACAGAAGCAGACCTCATGTCAGTCAACAAACCTTGAGATGGGCCAGGATATTTATTGTACAGATGCTCAGTGATGAGAAAATCCAACAAAGAATCCCCAAGAAATTCTAGCCGCTGCAAAGAAAAAATTATATATGTAATATTCAATTCATTCATTATGAAAGTAATAGAAAAAAACATAACTACTTATTGGTTACATCAAAACTTCCAAAAGATAGACCGCTTCGAACAAAATGACCCTGAAGATTTTGCCATTCATAGATAACTATAAACAAATTAACGCCTTCTTTTCATATGATAAACTGATAATAGTAATCATAGCCCTACTATGAGGTGGAAATTCATCAATAGTTCTAAAGCTAACTTCAATTCATCCTCATCTCATGTATCTTTGTTATAGTCAAAGTGAATAAAGTGGAAATTCATCAATAGTACCATTAGCATGCTATGATATGTATGTACTAATAGATTACTGATTTTGGTTTTGCTAGAACCAATGATACCATCAGGAAAAAGAGTTTTTGGTTTTAAGGTACCTGATAACGTGGAATTTCTAGCCGTGTGTAGGAACCATGGGTAAGAGCTTCCACCAAGAGAGAGCTGTCGTTGAATGAGTAGTTCAATAAGGATTCCAGAGATTTCACATTTACAAGGGTCTGTGGATGTGCGATGAGAAGCCTCTTATTGGGTGTTATATCAAAATCCACCTTTATTCCAATCCAATCCAAAAACTTCAAAGCAGCTTTCTCTCCACCTGTGCTAAGGATAGCCCCAGTTAAGGCTTCAACAACATCTGCAACTTTCTCATTGTCCAATTTTCTGTTCCCATCAACATACATTTTTGTCATATCAGAGGCTAGCTCCTCTTTTAAAGTAACATTCCTAGATCTATCTCCGGGTATAATCCACTTCTTTGGATCAAAAGGGCTGGTTCGTATGAATCCCTGCAGAGCCAAAAAAAAAAAAAAGTTAAGAGAGAAGAAAAGGAACCATTTTCCAAATGAGAATACTTACATCAAGTCCCTTATATCCATCACGTTAAGTTCTCCAGGTACATATGACTGTGTCCTTTTTTGTTTCATGTCAATAAGGACACATGATCATGTGTAATTAGAGAACTTGACATAATGGATATAAGGAACTTGACCTAAGTTTTTTCCTTTTCAGAATACAGCACAAGACATAAGCGGATTTTTATCTCTCTTGGTTAAGGTGTTTTAAGGTGAGAAAGAAAACATACCGGGAGATTAGAGTTGCACCCTAACCTACAGAGGGCGACATTAGATACCATCTCGTCCTTCTTCTTACTAAGGAGCCCTTCAGGATCAAATGGATAGGTTTGATAAAGATGCCGAACAACAGCATATTTAAGGAAAGAATCTCCAAGAGTCTCCAGCGATTTATAATTAAATGACTCTTGGCATTCGTTCGCAGTAATTGCTTCCAAGATCTGCAACGCACAAAGCAGATGCCATTAGGACAGGTATCATCAACAACACTAGAATAAACAATATATGTATATAAGAAAATAGAAGTCCATCGTTAAGAGATAATGAAAGCACGAGCAAGAGATGGAGAAGTTTTCAGTCCTTGGCAAACCATGGAAATATAACTGTTAGAATTAAATCATGCTAGCACGTTTTAGCAACAATAGAATAATGGCTTACCTTGTTTGTTGGGATATGATTTTGCATGCACATCTTTTTCAAGTTGAAAGCCACAAGCAGTGACTCAAGCCGATGCATTATTGGTGGAATGAGTGAGAATGAATATAATGTACTGACCGATATGGGTGACAAAAGAATAGAGCACAGTTCAGGAGGCAATTCAACTGAAGCGTTGCCTGGTTCTTAGGGGGGGGGGGGGGAAAGAATAATCAGCAACACACAGAGACAAATGTTACTAACAATGGCTTAAGAAAGTTGAGACTTCTAGAGTAAAAAAAAGCTAAAAGTAGCTTTTGCACTTGTGTCATGGGCAAAAAACTTCTCGGAAACCCTGCACAAGCACCTTTACCAGTATGAATCCGTATAAAAGAATCAGAATTCCAACCTTTTTCCTTCCCTTGTCTGTTTTTGTCAAGGTAGTTTTTCACTTGAAATGTATCCCTTCCCTTATATAGCTGTTGATTTTCATAACGCAAATTAATTTCATGCCTGAAATGTAGGATAAGGGATAAGAATATGTCACGGTGAAACAACCAATGGGAAATATTAACAGCAAGACCTCAGAAACGAATATTATCATACTTTTCTTTAAAGTATTTCTTGTATGTCCTTGCTTTGCCCTTCCTGAATCTAAGCCGAGAGTTTCCATCCAATTTCATCCTATCAGTGATGATATAAAAACGACCACTATGGGGAGTATGGACCAATGAATTTTCAAGTTCACAGGAGCAAACTGGGCCATCTGAAGTGAATACATTTGCAACATGCTTCTTGCAGCCTTCTTGAGATGAAAGCCAATCAATGGAGAAAGGTCTTTGATGTGTGGAAGTGGAAGGAAATAGAAGATAATCAACCTCAGGATTATCTTCCAAACAGAGTTTATTTAAAATGTCTGTCAACTTAGCCATATCATAACCAGAAAGAACCCCAAATACTTTGATCTGGGATTTTCTCCACAGAAGAACCTGGAAAGGAGCCCAAAAAAAGAAAAATCACGGTAACTTCATTAAACTTTGTTATTATGCTATATAACATAGAAAGAGAACAAGGTGGCATACCTCATTTAGGCCAAGATTTTTTGTTCCAATGTATTGAAACCTCACTGTCAGATTCCCTCGGTCAATGCGCATTTCAAATTTCATTGACTCCATAACTTCTGGGTCAAGCTCACACTTTATGGCAAGAATCACATCACTAGTTGAAGCATCACCAGTAAAGTCTTGTTTCAACTCTATTAAATAGCAGTGATACACTGTATTTCCATCAATTTGTGAAAATCTGTTGACCAATTCAGGCGGGATATAACGAGGTTGCTCTTCATTATAGGATTCATTCACTGTAAGAATCATATAAATGGTCAAACAAAAAGGAAACATATGAGGAAAGCAAAATTTCATTTTGAATTATCATCACAAGTTCTATAGTACAACAAATGATAGGCATGAAATTTACCTGATTGACTCATTCTTGCACTAAATTATTCTGCTTGACAGTATCAGAGACAAGATTGCCTGTCAAAACTTCAAGCTGATGAAGTTCTTTGTAATCGTCAAGGCAAGCCTTAGTGTTTGATCTTGAAGGTTCTTAGAACCTTAAAAACGAACCATCGGTAATGGGCTTCTATTTCAAATCGGTGACAAAAATTGCAGGTAGAAGGTTCGAAGAAATGAAGGTGAGAGAGCGATCGAGAGTAGAGATCCCACAAGGCAAGCAAGCACGAAGCAAAAAGATTCTCAGAAATCAAAGGATAAATAGTACAGATTAGTGTTCAGCTCAAAAAAAAAAAATAGTACAGATTAGTGCCTCCTTCGTGAGCAAGTTAACTTTCCACACAACGAGACCCCGCAAGTCAAAAAGAAAGAAAAATAATCATCATCTGTTCTCGCTTTCGCAAAGAAGGATAGCGAGTGATGTAAAGAGGCAAGCTCAGGGAAAGTTCCAAGCTCAAAACAAAAGACTCATGGCGTGCTTCTGTGGGCCAGCTTCCCTCCTTGTTAAGCTAACTTAACTGTACATTGTATGATGTGAACATTTTGCCTTGGAAAAAAGCGGGGAGAATTGTTATCACGTAATTACTAAAAAAAAAAAAAAACTACAATGCGTGATGTTGCCCTTAATTTTATTTATTATGATTTAAGAAAATTTTACTAAATAACTTCATTTACCCATTGGAAGCGGTAATAGATAAAGATTTATAAAAAATGTAGAACCAGAATTACACATGATCGCAAAACTTTACGAGCCAAATCTCTACAAACGATGCATGTTAATCGACTACATATTATATTTATCCACTTGATCGTTTCTTCATATTTTTTCCCCTTTGAAAATGCCTTTTAACGTACAAAATCTCATCTTAATGTTTTTTTTTTTGGGGGGGGGGGGAGTTGAAATAGAAAGAGAGCCGGTCAACCACCTTGTAGGCTTGTAGCTGATCGAATGACATGAAATGTTCATCTTAATTTTTTTGTTGAGATTAATTTAGGATAATTTAGATTGAATTTAAAATTTTGTTTTAATAGATACTGAAATTAAAAATAAAGATAATCTTATAACTAACACTTTTTTTAAAAAATAAGCTTATCATTGAAAAAATTGCATGTTTCAAATTTTAAATATAACAATGCATACCAAATTTTGGATGGTCTGTATTCCATTATAATTGTATTTATTACTATGATGAGTATTGAATGATGATCGATAAGCATGAGAATTTGTGTAAATAAAAAATTAAGGACAATTTTTTACACTTAATTGTAAACTTGAGTTATATGGTTATTTTATGGACCAATGTATATTTTTACTCTCTTTTTTGGCCAACATATTTACTCTTAATTTTACCTAGTATGGTTTAAACAAGTTTTACTAAGTATACTGTACAACATATTATGTTTATTCACTTTCTCGTTTCTTCATTTTTTTTCCCCCTAATGCCTTTCTACATACAGAACCACACATGTTAATGCTTTGGGGGTTTTTTGGTGGTAAAAAAAGGTCTTTTGAGGGGAGGGTTTAGTTATTGATTATTGATAATATTCAGAATGCAGTTAAAAATAATATTTTTGATGAAAATATAAAAAAAATTTGGGCTTTTGATGTATTCATCATAATTGTTTTTACAATAAATATAGTATATTTATTTGATTTTATTTTGTATTTCTTTAATTTTTATATTACATATAGACTATTCTTTAATGAAATTTCTATTAATATATTAAACATTGATGATTCTCACAAAAAAATTGCAGATGTTGGCAAAAAAATATTTACAGAAAATAAACGTACGCACCTTTACATGCACATGTTAATTGTACTCATAAAAAAAATCTTGGCCCTCAATGAGATCAATGCTTGATCCGTAAATTCTTTTTTTGGTAAACTGATCCGTAAAATTTGAAAAGCCTATCAGATGAGCCTAAGTCAAACGAAGGATCACATAAAAATGGGCCAATTAACGTGGCCCAAAAACAAAAATCTTATCATATGTCAGCCCCACGTCATCAAAGCCATTCAAGTCATGAGCAAGCCTGCATGTGACTGGGAACGTCATCAGCAGCACCCGGTCATAATCGGAGTCACAGCCCTCGTGACAAAACACATCAGCAAATTGTCAATGTCAGTTGGCACCCGCCTCAACAGACACGTCACCAAATGCCACCGTCAAGTCAATTGCCAAATCAGCCGCCATGTTGTCACTTTTGGCTGCAGCATCATCCTAGTTAGCACACCAGCATGACACGTTACAACATGTCGTCAGCTGAGTCAACAGACACCTGACAAACACCTCACAAATTGACATGTTATCAAAGTGAGAGGACACATCATCATGACACGTCAGTTAGTAGATATGCCATTAGCAGTCAGCAGCCACCTCAGCAAAACACATCACCAATCTGACATGTCATCATCTGCCATGTGGTCTCATCTTCCGTGTGATCATCCGAGTCATGAGTCCCATTGCCTGCCTGTGTCTTTCTGTCCTCATCGTCATCTGAGTTAGATGCACCTCATCTTGCCATGTCATCCAATCCAACTGAGCCTGCCAGCATCGGTCACGTACGCCAGTAGACACGTTCTCATTCAACCTTGTCATCATCTTGTTAGGTGCCACATTGACAGACAAATCACCAATTTGGCCAGTCATCATCTGAGTCATATGACAGATCACATGACATTTCATCATATTATCCCTGTCATAGTCGTGTCAGATGCCACGTGATTTATTCGTCACCGTCGTACCAATCATCGGCACAGGAACTCTGTCCTCGGCTTCCCCATTTCGCACATCAGCTCCGGGCACCGTTGCCTTCGGCCGGCTACTGTTGAAGTTCCGAGGCCATTGATCAGAGACCTCGCCTCACCCCTTTCTTCCCCACCAACCGTCGCTTTTCGTCGTCGTCTCACCCCTTTTAACCCTTTCCTGTTCCGCCCCTTTTCGTTTTCAATCGGACGTCGTCTTCATCATCGTAGTCGTATTCTTACTGACTCTTGTATTATGGTGCAGTTTTTCTGTGCTTGTCTTAACTACTTCAACAACTTGTCTTCCCCTGTTCCCCCCTCCTCTTTGTATACTGATTTACCTTTGTCATATTCATCTCCTTAATTTCCTTCTAATAGCCTTTTTATTTTATTTTTTTCCCGTCATTGTTCCCAGAATCAGGCATTGTATTACGTGACATGATTTTGTGTTACCCTTCTTACTGTTTATTATAAATTCGCAACTTAAATCTTCAACCAAGGAGCTCAAACATAAGGTCAGTTGCCGTTTACTACAATCACTGCCCTGAAATCATAATTCATCATTTGAAACTCTCTTTCCTGTCAACAAGTGAAGTTTAGAAATAGAAATTGACCTTCTTGGGCTAGGCAGTTGTAAGTAACACACAAACACAAATAAACAAAAGGGGGCGTTTGTCAATTAAGTGTTTGCACTCCTTAATTCTACAATTTACAGTCTTTATGTATGCATTTTGTGTTCAATATACGAGAATCGAAATATGGATCAGTCTGCCTCTCTTTTCTTTGGCCACAACTCTTATATGTTTTTTCACTATCTATTCTTAATGTTTCTTATTTTAGGGTTTTCATTGTCGCTTGTTGAGTATCAACTGTGTCAAGTATTGTGAATAGAGGGCATTTAACAAGATGTTTGGTGCATAGAATGATTAGAATGGTATGGAATGGAAAGAAAAATATGATGAAAAATGTATTTTGTGATAAGATATGATTCTCGTGCCTGGATAAAAAAAAAACAAGAATTTAAAATTGTTGAATGATGATAACAAATGTATAATAGATGTTCCATATCTTTTTCCCCTTTGAAATGAAATATGTTACTTCAATGCAACCACAGATGACCTTAAATGGCTGTACCCCTTATTTCATAGGACGTAGATTACTCTTAATTATTTTATGCTTTGGATATGTTGTTTGACAACTCTTTGCACTCTAATGCTTAGATGGAACATACTATATCATAAATAGTATATCTCTGTAATATCTCTGCCCTCCTATGCGTGTTGTGTTAATATATAGGTAACGTCATTTGCAAATTGGAATCCTTGTGCTTTATTTTTTCACTTACATGTGTTGTATTCTTATATGCAGGGGTAATTATATTCAGTTTTGCATTCATCTTTTGCATTTATAATATCTATATTTATAATCATGGTAAATTATTCAATCCTTGAAGCAGTCATTTTTTGATAGAGTTCTAGAGATGTAGATTTGTTGAAAGGGAAACTCATTCTTTCTCAAACCCCATTGCCCCATGAAAACAGCAGCAGTAATGAGATGCTTAAATTGTGTTAGTAATATGTGTGTATGCAGAACTTGTAGCATATTATTGCTGAATTGACCAAGTTCTATACCAGTAGACCTGGGAAAGCGGGCTGGCGGTACGGATACGAGTCAGCCCGCCGCGGTGCGGGCTGAAGTAGCCCACATCTTGTGCCAGCCCGAGCTTGCCAAGCCTAAAATTTTTTTAAAAAAATTTATTATATTAGTATGAGTTAAGTCTAGTTTGAAATATTGAAACTGGGTTCCGAATTTTAAACTTGAGTAGTGGGTTCTAATAAAAAAATATATGAGAATTAATTTATAATTTTAGAAGATATTTAAGAAAAACTAACATATTTTTTTATAAATAATTAATTTACCTAGTTTTCTTATCCAAATTAATTAAGTAAATCTTTTATGTGTGTGTATGTATGACTATATGAGAAATTGAGAATCACATGTTCATCTAATCTTATGAAGCCGTGTATAATAACAACAAATAGATATAAAAATAAAAGATGGACGGTGCTCTTCATATAACCATACATATATATATATGAAGTGCTTAATTAATTATATATATAATGATATAAATGAGGTAATGTCCACATGAAATTTGAGAGTCAAAATCATCTAACTATATTATATAATGTATTAAAAAAAAAAAAAAGCGGGCTGGCCCGCCAACTCGCAGGCCAACCCGCGATGGAACGGGCCAAAAGCGGTGTGGGCTAGAGTAGCCCGCACCATGGCAGGCTGGCAAAACGTCAACCCGAGCCTACCTTTTTTGGCGGGCTGACGGGCTAGGCTCGCGTATTACCGGCTCTATATACCAATTGGGGAGGCCTAGAAAAGTAACTATCTTGTGTCCATTTGTAGGTTTATAATGGATGATGCTGGGCGTTGTGAAAATGGAAAGAACAAAGCCGATCAATATAAATCAGCTCAAGGGCGGATATATTGAAATAACC